GGTCTCTGTCCAAAAGGTGTATTTGACATAGCCTAAAAAGTCTCTTTGATTATGGCAAATGGTAGAAATACAATAATTCACACCTTTACTAGTGTTTCATATAAGAGCGAATGATGATATGGAAACGCTTTCAAGGCATTTCGGAGAAGAAGTTCCAAGTTTTTCCTAAAAGATACAAGCCTGCAAAACAATTCTCAAGTTTACAGATAACCATACTTGACCCTAAAACACTTTTTAAAAAACACAGTCATTTTTTGTAATTTACCTGTTTCATCAAGAAAATGAATATGAATTTAAAATCACAATCTTAATATAACTTACTGGAAAAATTCCAATCTATTATTAAGATTGATGTAAGAAAGGTGATGATGTTCAGAAAGACTTTTTCAAAGTACGGAAACTCGCTTAATTATTGATGCCATTTTCCTCATCAGCTTAAGATAAAGGAATGTATAGACACCTAACCTCACTTGCTCTCCAGGCTCCCAGGTAAGCAGGTGTTTTGCATAGATGATACAGGAGTCATGGGCTGTTCTGCCGTTTGCTATGAGTTCCGTTATGTATTTGTAGATGTCTCGGAGAATGAAAAGTATGATCCAAAGTTTGATCGACATAACCTAGAAAGGTTTTGGGGTATTGGATGTTAATGTAAAAAAGAAACACTTTGGGAAAAAAGTCAAAGTTACCTCATTGCCTTCCTTACATCTGAGCTGTCTCTCAAAGACTCGATCAACAACATACAATATCTGCAAAAACCGAAGTTAATCAAGATGATTTGAGTAATAAATTTATGGCTAAAGGCCTTTAAAAAAGTACGCTTCAAAACGCTTTTGTTATCTTAAAATCGCAAGCAAGTAAGAACACAGAGAAAGGATATATATGAAATACCTTTTTCTGATACTTAACAGAATCCGCATAATCGCTCAATTCCATTGCTATTGCCACTGGATGGATCTAAAGAGAATGACTATAGGATAACGGCTGATACAGACGAAGCTAACCTGATGCCAACTGCAGAGCTTGTGGATGAACACGATAAGATGCTCAGGATACACTTCAGTGGTTTCTGATCCAACTTTTGGGCAAAGGAGCCGTTCAATTTCGTCTATGGTTACATGATTATTTATGATGGAAACGCACTCATGTTGCCCTAAATATAACAATTTTATGGGGACAAGCGGTAGAGAATTTCTCAACACCTTACCCACAAAAGCAGCCAATTCACTAGCTGTTTTTCCTATCGAGTTTGTGGAATATGAATGGGCACCGTGGTCCAAAAGCAGTTTGCAGAGATCAGGTTTCCCTTCAAAAAAAAAAAAAACTTGCACTGAACTCAAGTGAAAAGGTAATCTACGACTTTGATAGTTCACCAAATCACGACCGTTACGCGATCTAGCTTATCGAGCTGCCCTTTATTTCCAGCTAAAACTC